ACCCTTCGACGATGCTAGCGGGGCGTCCAGCGCGGCTCGCCGTTGCGCTGGCCACTGGCACCCCGTGAGCGCGTTTTTAATGGATGACCGCGCCGCCCTCGCCTTCTGGCCATCGGTGAACCTGCCGACCTCCTTCTTGACGTGCCTGGTGGCATCCGTCTCCTATGCGGGCGGGCCCCTTGCTCGCGCCGGCCTGCCTCCAGGGCGCCCGCCTGTGCGACCGTGCGACCTTCGTCTTGGTCGCGTGGCCGCTCGGCTCGAACATCTTCGGTAGCCTTCCCTTGTCCGTCTCGGGGGCTCGTGGTCGCGCGCGCGCGCCGGGGCCGCCGCGCTAGCGAGCTCGCGCCCTGCGAGGCAACTTCGGCCCGCCTTTTGGGGCCTCCTCGCGCTGGCGGCGGAGGCGCCCCCGAGCGCGCGCCCCTCTCTTCTTCGCCTCTCCGCGTCTGGATCGCCCCCGCCCAGGCCTGGGTGGGCATCCAGACGCGCTCGGACATCGGGTCGACGCGCTGCTTCTGCGCCAGCAGGGGGCCCAGCGATAGCGAGCGTCCTCGCCCGCTGGCGAAGTGGATGTTCCCACCTGGATCCTCGGCTTCCCCGGCCGCGTCGTTCCGGGCCGACGCTGCCGCGCCGTGCCGGGGTGCGCGGCGCAGCCCCGTGACCGCCGGGTACTCCCCGCTCTTCTTGGAGCCAGCTGAGGGGCCCGACGGGCCTGGCGCCCCCGCAAGCTTCGGCAGCGTGGCCGCTGGCTCCTCGCGCCGGCCGCTGGGGTGGGCGCCCACCTCCTCGAGGTCCATCGCCAGGTCGATCACCGCCTCGATGAGCTCGTCGTGACTGAGCTGGCGCGGCCCCTGCTTGTCAGCGCCGTTCCCCGTCCTCGCATGGACAGACCTCGCTGCGGCTCGCGTGTCCTCCGCCGAAGGTCTTGGCAGGGGTGCCCCCGCCTCTGTGGCCTCCGCCTTCGACGCCCCCCCCTGCGGGCAGGGCGCGCGGCGCACCCTCTGCCCAGAAGTCGCGCGCCAGTTGTAGCTGCTCTGGACCTCTCGCAGGGGCCCCGTCCTCGCAGAGGTCACTGGGGCTCCGGCCTCCAGGCCCCCCGCCGAATATGACGCGCGCTCCAGCGCCGGAGTCCCGCGGCCGCCGCGGCCAGCTCTGGGAACTCCTGCTCCGCTCTCTTCCGCTTGCTGACGCTCTGGCCTCAGCCTCCCACCTGGGCCCTGAAGCCCGAACTCGACGTTCCCGCTGCCGGCGGACGCCGCCCGCCGAGCGTGAGGCGCCCAATGCCCGCTGACGCTGGCGAGGCCGCGCGGCGCCTTCCTCGCCGCGGGGCCCTCCGCGCCGACGGAGAGCAGGTAATCCGACGCCGCCATAGGCGTGCGAGCGGGCCCGTCCACCTTGGCTCCAACGTGGTGCCCTCGCCCCCCCTGGAATAGCGCCCCTTGACGTCGGGCTCTGCCATGCGGATGTGGACGAGCTCCTCCTCCATCTCGCCCAGCAGCTCACCGCGGGCCTTGTCGAGCTCCTCCGTGGTTTTCACCCCCGCGCGAGCCTCCCGCAGCCGTGGCGGTGGCCCCCTCCATGGCTGCGGTGGGCCCTGGGCTGGGGTCTGCGGCGAGGGCCTCGGCGCCGCCGCGCGCCTCTCCATGGGCTCGGGCCCGCTTCAATCGAACTCTTCGGCGTGGACTGACTGCTGCAGCCTCTGGGTCGTTCTTGTCTGTCGCGACATCGCGCCCCAGGGCCCTCTCTATCGCGTCCATCGAGACGACGAACTAATCCAGCTGCGACGGCGGCTTGGCGGGGTCAAGCCGACGCGCGCCGACGCCCTTGGAGTCCGACGCGACCGCGCCTCCGATCGCCGCAGGCCAAGCGCCCGCGCGGCTGTGGAACGTCTCGAGGCTAACGTTCCAATCTCCTCCTAGCACCTAGCTCCTCCCTGCTCTCTTGATGGCGTCGCCGACTGCCATCGGCGTGTCCTAGCTCTCGCCCCCCAGGTCGTCTGCGGCCAGGCGCGCGGACCAGGGGGGGATGCCGTGCGCCTTCGACGCGCATGCTAGTCGCTCCATGCATGGCGGTGCTGAGCCTGTCCCGGGCGGCTCCGCCATGCCGCGGTGCTTCCCGACTGCGATGCCAGTGCCGCCACTTTCCGCTCGAACTCCGCTAGCACCTCCTGCAACTCCCGCGGTGATGGTAGCGTTGAAGCCGCCATCCGACGCCATTGCTGCTGCGTCTCCACCTGGCGACTGTGGTAGCGTTGCTCCTGGAATCAGTGCGCGTCGGCACCGTAGGACTTCGATGCGGGCCCCGTCCCTCCAAAACAAACAGCGAGGGGCCCCGGGCTGCTGCCGTTTACCGTGGGGGCTACTGCAGAGCTTGCCGCGCCTTTCGCGTCTGTCTGCTGCCGTCGGCGCGCCGGCGACAGTGCCGGACTCGCTGGGCCATGCGCGCCGCCTGGCTGTCTCTGCATTGCCGCGAGTTCCGTGGGGTCCCGAGGTGCTGCCGGACCTGCCAAACCATGCGCGCTGCCCCACTGTCTCTACACTTCCGCCGCCGACGCTCGCTGCCGTGCTCTCCGCGTCGCTGCCTCCGTCGCCATTCTGGCCTCTTGCCTGGCCTCCGCGCAGGCACCTTCCTGCGTGGCTGCTGCAGCGCGTCGGCGGCTTTCTTCCGAGCGGCCGCCTTCCAATCGCGTCCTCCTGCTGCGTTGGGGATCCGCAGCCCCTGTCTCGCCATGGGGGCGCCCAACGCGGCGTTGAGCTTCTGGGCGTCCTCCCCCGTGCCGGCTTCGGATCGCAACTCGCTCTCCTCGGCCTCGTTGGCGATGTTCTTGGCGAGCTCCTGCGTGGGTTCGGCCAGCTTGTCGCGCGCCTCCGCGAACTCTGGGGCGAGCGCGCCCCTTGTGCCCGCTCGAGCAGCTCGTCGAACTCCTTGGCTCGTGCCCCTGAAATTGCGGCTGCGGCGCCTCCTCCTACTTGGGCGGTCCGCTGTGCCATCGGCGCGCCCGGGGCCTCCTGACTCGCTTCGGCCGCCGCCCTTGCCGTAGCTGCGTTCTCGCGCAACGCGATGAGCTCGCTTGGCGCCCAGGTCCCTGGTTTCCACGTCCAGCTTGTCCGCCTCCTTGGACTCCGCGTTGTGCTTCTTCTCGAGGCCCTCCATCCTGTCGGACAGCGGTTGGTTCCCTGAGGCGCACTTCTCCATGGCCAGCACTCCTTGTGCCTGCTCTTCCTGAGGGGATCGGCGCCCTCGATGTCTTCGAGCGTGTCCAGCTCCTTCTGTAGCTTGGCGGAGGTGGTGATTCCCGCCGCTGGCGCCTCCGTGGACTAAACTCCCCCATCCCCCCATCGCCTTCTTGAGCTATGCCTGCGGCCGCTGTGCCTCTCGCTGTGCCTGCGGGAGCTTCTTCTGCTTGAAATCGCCGTGCTTCCAGGGTGATCCACGTCCGTCCGCGCTGTCCGGCCGCGATCCCGCCCTGCTCGCTGGCCCTGCCGCCGCGCAGGCGCGACGCCGGCCCCGCAGAAACAAATTGTCGTCCTGGCCACGCGTGGGACTCAGACTCAGAGAGCTGGGCGTCGCTGCTGAGAGAGAGAGAGAGAGAGAGAGAGAGAGAGAGAGAGAGAGAGGGAGAGAGGGAGAGAGAGGGAGGAAAGAGAGAGAGAGAGAGAGAGAGAGAGAGAGAGAGCAAGAGAGAGAGAGAGAGAGAGAGAGAGAGAGAAGAGAGAGAGAGAGAGAGAGAGAGAGAGAGAGAGCAGAGAGAGAGAGAGAGAGAGAGAGAGAGAGAGCGAGAGAGAGAGAGAGAGATAAAACAAAAGGGGGGAGAGAGAGAGAGAGAGAGAGAGAGAGATCGGACAAGTAGGCGGACCAGGGTCCGTCCGCGAGGCGCACTGCGGTGCGACAACTCGCAAGCACTATTTGCGGCGGTGCAGCCTTAAGATACGAGGGCGGGCCACAAAACCCCCTCCCCCGGCGCAGTGCGACTGACGCTACAGACGGCGGACAGACGATGAAGATCTCACCTGACAGACCGCGTGAGGTAAAAGGCCCCAACAAGAAAGGCGACGTGCTGGCACGTGGCTAGGCGGCTTGGCGGACCGCCAGTTGGGCGCTTGGCCGCTAAGCGGCGCGCAGTGACGGGGCACCCCCCGCCCCCACGCCCTGACACCGTGGACGCGGAGCCACACGTACACACGGGCAGGCAGAAAGGAGGAGATTAGCGCGGGGCACCAGGTGGAGCGCCGCGGAACGATGACAACATAGCTTGGATGTTGAGTGACGGCACGACACCATCGGGCGAGGTCGTGAGCAGCTCGGCGAAGGCTCGCCCAGCGCTGTGGAGGCGCTGGAGTAGAGGACCTTGACGAGCTTGGGCAGCGGCGAGGTCCGCGGCGAGAGCTAAGCACCTCTGCTGAAGGGCAGCCATAGCCTGTGACAGCTCGGTTTCACGGTCGGTGAGAGGTGGCTGCTCAGTGACATCCGCCGAGGATCTCGAGACAGAGGCGAGGTCCTCGGTACGCCTGTCCAGGTGGGCTAGCGGCGTGCGGGACCCTGAACGCTGACGTCCGTCACCCTTAAAAGGTGACTGGAGGGGCCGGCGCGACCCCAGGGCTGGAGCCGCTAGGGCCGCGCCCCGAGAGGTCAGGGGAGCCGCTTCCTCTCGCTCAGCAACGGAGGAAGCGTGGGTGGGGCACGAGGGCCTGTCTGGTTTAGTACCCTGCGGGGGGGCTGAAGCCGCCCCCGCGGGTCGCTGACGATGGGGAGGCGGAGTGGTATGCGCGGTGGGACCAGTCGTGATGCCGTGCAAGGCCGCTGAGGTCGGTCGCGTAGAGGGTTGGTGACTCGGTGGGGCGGCATGGTCGGCAGCGTGTGGTGTCGGCGGTGCGTCCTCAATGCCACCCAATCCTCGGGGGGCACTCGGGTCGTGGTCGGCGTCTTGGCGGTGACCGATATCGTCGTATGTGGGCGTTAACGCTCTTGGGGACGGCGTCGCAGTAGGGTTTGCGAGGTTTCCCGACGGGGCGGGGTTTTCGTTGGCTGGTCCGTCGTCCAAAGCGTCCGATCCCCCACCGAGGCTGAAAAGGTCATCGTCCTGCTCATCAGCGTCTTGAAAAGGAACGGCGTTGTCATGTGGGTGGGCTGACGCACTCAATGGCGGAGTCGGGGGCGCCGTGCGG